GATGTTTTATAATCGATTGCGGTGAACTCTTTATGAATCTGTACAACAATTTTGGGTTGCTGTGCCCAAACGCGTGAATTGAATCAAAAACCTTTTACACACACTTGTAGACAAGAGTTCACGGTTTATTATAAAAATAAAACTTACTATATCTGTGCACTAATTTATTAATAATGCCGGTTGGAAATGTGGTATTTTTTGCAAGTTTCCGAGCTGACTTTTCATAAAGCGGCATCCATCCTCTTTCATTTAGGGGGGGTTTTGGGGAGCCACGCCCTTCCCCCTCCGTCACCCACCCCTAAATCGTTGTACAAATCGCTAAAGATTTCCCGATCGCGGACTATGTAGAACATCGGCACATCGATACCTTGCACACATAATCGAAGTGTCGATGATTCCAAAATTACAGTGCTCATACATACATACTTTCGCATTTCAGGTGACGATATACGTGTTTGTACGTATGTAAAACTATAATTCATAAAAAGGCGAATGTAGTATAGTATTTTATTTGATTTCAAGTTTTTAAACAAATCTGAAACTCATCCACATAATTTCGAGGAAAAAATACATGAGAACAAATAATGTTAAAATTTGCCCAAACGCTTCCAATAGAACTACTTATTTCTGATGAGCACGAGAACAAATCCGTATTTGAAAATGATATCGATATTGTGTAAACTCGATGATGCCGGTCGATGAAAATCGAGGATCGATGTTGACACTCCGATGTCATCACCGATGAAAAAATCGATATTTTCTCATCATCGCCCAACACTAGATCGCGGACTATTCATTGGAAAAACAACACCAGTGGGTGCTGTCAAATTAATTTTCTAACATTTAACATAGCGTTGCCAACCATCTCCCTAGTCAACTTCTATTTTCTTTTACCATAAGACTGTGATTATACACGGAAACTTTTTGTGACGCGATTTTTCACATTCCCTTTTGGTGTTGCTTGTTTCATTTACACACGGCGACTTTATTTATGCAATTGTTGTTGTCAGCTGTGAACCGCTAACTCACTACACTTACACAGACGAGCGAGAGCACAAAACGTGTTGCCCGAGCACGAGCAACTCGTTGCCCCTCTGCTTTCCTCGTCACGCGCTCCCCAGCGATCGTCGAGTTGCCGCAACTAAAATCGCCGTGTGTAAATGAGAACTAATCAGCCTTATCATGAGTTTAATTTTCCACGAACTGGGCCCAATTGCACCAACGACTTATCAGTTATCCCTTAACAACTTTTGGATAAACCTTTTTTTTTTTTTTAAGTAAAGTTGATAAGTGTTGCACTTTTTTTTATCAAAACAAACTTATAAACGTATCAAAAAATGAGTAACTAACAAGTTTTTTGGATGAGTCGATTTCCTACCCATTGCACAGCCAATTTCTTTTGTTTTTCAAATAGAGAACTTTTCCTTTAATGTACTTAGCTAAAATGATTACCCTTTTCAATGGAAAAATAAGGCTTAGCAAGCCCATCTCCGACTTGATAAACATTTTCAATTTCTCTTTTTTCTTACTATGTCGCGCTCAGTTTCTACCAAAAGCAATTCAGCCGCCCATAGTAAATACACGCAAACAAAAAGTGAAAAGGGAACCTGATTATTTTTTGTCGCGTGACAATGTCGCTTTTAATGTGTTCAAAGCATTATACTTAAATTTGCAGTCCTGTGCAAGCAATAGCTGACAGCTGCTAAACTAATTTGTTTCCAATCCGGCTATTTTCTATTTATCTACAGTCTACAATCAATAAAAACAACGCCACTTGAAGAAAACTATAGCAATCTACGGTAATTCTCTAGGGTGTGGTAAAAACCCCTAAAAAAGGTGCGGAAAAGTCGGGAGGGGTACCAAACGACGCGTTTCGGCCCCCCTAATAACAATCCGGAGGGGGGGAGATAATATTATTAACCATTTAAAAGTTATGAACAAAAAACTTTAGTTAAATTTCGTTGTTTTCTATGAGCAATTACCACGTCAAAAATGCACTAAATCACCAGTTTCCACTTTTAAAACACTACTAAAACGTTTCCGGTTATTATTTTATGCAAACAAAATCATTTATTCACTTTTATTTTATATATTTCGTTAATAAAACAGAGTAAACAACTTCAACACTTCTTCTTCTTCTTCTTTTTACTTTCATCTAAATAAGATATTGTAACCAAAATATAGTAGCAAATTTCGCTATACCATCGCGCGATTTTTTATTAAAAATTTTCATTATTTATCGAAGTATTAATTTTTATAAGAAAAGCGCCGAAAGAAGATACCGAAAAGCATTGAACAGTGCACACATCTCATAAGGAAAAGTTAATTATTACGAAATACTAATACAGTGGCAGCACTATAGCTATTTTGGAATCTCCCCTACGGGACAACTGAGTGATCACTGATGAATCATCTGAGTATCAGCCTTGGAGTATTAACCCCTCAGATTATACATCAGGTTTCTACAGCGGTTTTGAAAAATCTGATGGATACTTTCCTGTAGGTGTGATTTTGCCTCTCATTTTAACATGTGGGTTTTAGCCGTATTTGTAAATATTAGCAACATATGTTTGCACTACTCACTCGCCTTATTTAATCAACTCAGCTCGTATGGAAAGATTCCTCAGATCTTACCAATAAGAGCTGATGGACAATTTTGTCAGGTATTAACCATCATAACTGATACAATACTCACTAAGATCTGATGACTCAGTCTGATGTATAAATCAGTCAGATCTGATCAATCAAAGCTGATGTAAATAATAGTCACGTATGATTAATCAAATTGATGTATAAATCAATCAGCCCTCATTAATCATAACTGATGCAATAAGTAGTCAAGTCTGATTCATCAGATTGATGTATAAATCAATCAGATCAAAAAACTATTTTAAATTTTTTTCATATTTCTGTGTATTTTCACATACAAAAATATTTAAATAACTTATAAATAACTACACACATGTGTAAAAGAACTTTATTTCGAAAGACAACGACAGTATGCTTCCATTCTAATAGCCTTATTCATAAAAAATAAAATAGCTTTACAAAAGGTTTATAAATTGAAAAATGTATGAAAACGTCAATTTATAAAACTTTTTAAACCTACTTTATTTTTTATGAATAAGGCCATAAAAGTATAAAAAAAGGTTTAAAAAACTAGATGAAAAGTCAAAACTTATTACTTATTCTATTAACGTTAACATATTTACAAAACAATAAAAATAGACGAAAATTCAAAGTGTGTTACTTATTCTATTACTTTTTTAATTGTAATTTTTTTTAATTGTAATTTAATTATCGTAATTATGAATTATTTACATACATTATTTTTTGTCGCTTTTCTTGGAGTCATATTTTTTTTGATGAAGACGATGATGACTCCGCTCCACTTGTTTTTTAACCGCGTGCTCGAACTCCTTGGACGTCATTTTATTGAAAACGTCTGAATAAGGAAGAAATGTATTTAAACGAATGCATTATTGACACTATTATTTTTTAGTTTACCGCGCAAAACATGCTCAAATAACGTCAGTTCTCTCAAGGCTTTTTTCTCCCACCTCCCTTCCCAATTAAATTCAGCCAAGGACTCATCGGTGAAAAGCTTTTTGAAAACACCGCCAACGTCGTCCGACACGCCTTTGACCTTGTACAAGTATGTGGTCTATTGAAAGGGGGTTGTTTTTAATAAAATCAGTTAAATTCGCTATTATTACTTACCATTGCTTTCACATACTCCTTGGCCTTTAATTTCTCCTCGAGCGCCATTATCGGGGTATATGCGGAGCAGGGCAACATGCTGGCAATTTCGTTCATAATTTTGTCACATGCTTCGCCCGTCATACGACAAACTTCCTTTTCTATATTTTGCACCGAAACCTTTATTTCGCGTGCTGATTTCGCTAGAGCGAGAAATTCCGCGTTTTCGACTGCCTGCAAAATCGAGTACTCATATGTTCATAAATTCTTATTTTTCACAAAACAACACTTACATTCATTTGGAGTGATATGAATTTCTTCTCCAGCTCCGCCTGATTTGTTGACAACTTTGCTTGCTAAAATAAAAAAAATATACAAAATATATATATTGTTTATACATATGTATATATTTATTATGTATATGTATATATTTATGTACATATGTATTTATATGTATGTATGTATGTAACTTTTGTAAAGAGTGAGGTATTTCAAGGACTTACGTTGTTGATGCTTGTCTGCAAAGTATCCCATATGGCTTTTTGGTTATTAAGAAGGATGTCCAGCTTCGCGTTTATATCTTTAATGATTTTCAAGAATTAATATTAAAATCGTAAGTGTTAGTTACATAGTTTTTTAAAATAGGGACTTACCATCACTCGGAGAGCAAACTTGGCTTACACCTGCCGCTTCCTCTTCTTCAACATTGGTGTCCAGCTTCGCGTTAATATCTTTAATGATTTTCAAGAATTAATACTAAAATCGTAAGTGTTATTTACATAGTTTTTTCAATAGGCACTTACCATCACTCGGAGAGCAAACTTGGCATACACCTGCCGCTTCAACATTGGTGTCGTAGCACCTCTTCTTTATAAGGGATTGGCCCACTAAAATAAAGAACGATGGAATTATGTGATGAAACATTTTTCATACATTCCACTTACTTTCGACTGGAGACTCCTCACAAAACGACTCATCAAGAATATTGCTTGAATCCATGTGCATGGTTCATATTATTATCATGGATCATATCATACATATTATTATTATGGTTCATATATTATATTATGTTCATATTAAATGGTCACTTCTTATTCAACGTCCGAGTGGAAAAGGTGGTTTTTTCTGTGCTGGTGAGTTGGAGAAAAAATACTAAAAATAATTTACTGTGCTAAAGTGATCTTTGGTGTTGAGCTATCTACATAGATAATTTGTGAGTATCATATTTTTCTTTTTTAAATTGTGTGTGGAGTTGTGTGTTTTTTTATTAAAAAAAATACCTGAGAATAGTTGTGTGGCGTGGCGTGGCAGCGTCATCTGCTACCATGGCGGGGTCTGACCGGGAGGGATCCTCCAGGTCAAGGTCAAGAGTCAGGAAAAAGAAAAGAAGAGACAATGAGGAAGACGTGCGGATTCCTGGGCAAATGGAAGTGCAAATGAGTCAGTAAACCAAACTCTAATCCTTTCAATAACAGTGGCCATGTAGCAGGTGACGCTGAAATGCAGAGCTGGGCTTACATGGAACAAATTGACGACCATGTGCTTAGTAAGAATAGTGGTATGAGTGGTATGGCGGCAACCGGCAGTTCTGCCAACAATTCTAACCATGAGGTTAGGAATGAAAATCACGCTCATGTATACAACATACATGAAAGCTATGACTTACATGACGTACAGGATAAAACGGTATTAGGCAGACAAACAGAAGTAGGAGAGGGAAATCAAAAAATGGCAAAAGCAAATGGCGGGAAGCAAAACCTGTCTGTAGGAAATGACATTAGTAAGGGGCATGATGAAATGCGCCAAAATAATAAAAATGAAACTATTTTTTATCCACACGACCATAAGGGGGAAATATACGTCTTAATCGATACATCTAAATCGGAGTTAGTTAGGAACACGAGAATAAGGAATGGGTTATATCTGTGGAGCAAGATTAAAGATTTGGGTTTAGAAGACATTGACACAATCAAAGCAATTGGGGTCACGCTCTACAAGCTAGGTATAACAAGCATTAAATCGGCAAATGAGATTTTGGCAAATGAAAAGTTAAAGGAAATGCAAATGAGGGCCTTTATCCCCAGAGCATTTATTGAAACCTATGGGGTGATTAGGGACATACCCCTGGAGATCACAGAAGAGGAAATAAAAAATGAGGCAATCTCTGATGTGAAAATTACTTACTTCAGTACAAAGATTTATGAGACGTGAGAGTCGTGAAAGTGAAAACAGAATTACGACCTATACTGTTAAAATTGGCTTTGCCTCAAACAACCTACCCAAAGAAATCAAGCTTAACCATACCATTATCGAAGTTGAGTACTTCTATCCCTACATAAGGCAGTGTTTTAACTGTGGCAGGTTAGGGCACACAGGAAAAGCCTGTAGGGCCAACAAAAGATGTTTAAAGTGTGGAAACCAAGGGGGCTGTGAACAAGGGTGCAGTAATGCCAAATGTATTCTGTGTGGGGAGACCAATCACTTGGCAAATGAAAAAAATAAATGATCCAAGTGGGAGAAGGAAGAGGGAATCAGTAAGATTAAGACAATTAAAAAGCTAACTAGGAGGGAGGTAATAAAGACTTATACACCTTTTGCATCGAATAGGTTTAGGCTGCTAGACGATGAAGATTTCCCTGCTTTGGGTCAATCTTCAGATGCTTTAAAAGATAGGGATGCGGAAGTTAACGGAATTTTAACGCCAAGAAACTACGCAGCTATACTTAGGCGTAAGCAATACAGGACTAGCCAGTCATCCAAAAATAAAGTCACTAAGGCAAATGAAGAAAAAAGTGCGGAGGCTAAAGCCAAACGGAAAAATGCGTCAATTGAAGCCTATGGGGTAGCATTAAGAAAAGAAAACATACACATCGTATCCGAAATGGAGAAATTAGTTGCAGAGATGATAAAATTTGCAAGTGACGCCTTTAGAAGGATCGACTTTCAGGCAGGTGTAACTGCATTTGATCATTTTGATCAGAGACTAAAGAAATTCTGCTTAGATCTAGACCACAAATTTATTACAAGTAACCCACTTTCTACCCTTGAACAATATGAAGATACTACAACATAACTGTCAGTCTCTTAGGAAAAACATTAACCATATTGAATATTATGTAAACAACTATAACGTGGACATTTTCTACATTGCTAAAAGTAATAGGCAAGATGTACAAATCAAAATAAATGAAATCCCTATTGAACAAGTGAGACAAATTAAATTCATTGGTAGAACTATAAACTCGTCGCTGACGGTAGGCCCGCACTTCCAAAGGTTAGTGAATGACACAAAGAAAAACGCAAATTTTTTGAAATGTCTTACTCCAGTGAAAACAGGTATAACACCCAAAGTGGCTGTTAACCTATATAAAAGCTTCATTAGGTCCAAGGTCGAAGTCGCAAGAACCACGGCTGCAAGGATACCGAAAACAATAAACAAGAAAATTATGACTTTTCAGAATGCCACCTTACGTAGATGTCTAGGCCTTACACCTTCAACTCCAGTTCACACTATATATGTTTTAGCAAATGAACTTGAACCTCTGGAGAGGGGTAAATATCTAACTAGTAGGGAGTTAGTAAAGATAATGTTTGACAATCCGACTCTCTTCAACAGCGTAAAAAAAGATTTCTACCCAGAATCCAGTTATAGCTTAATATATCACGAATTCAAAAATACTTTTGATAAAATTGATACAGACTGCACCTTCCAAAAAAGCGTAGGTATGACAGTATTGGCGAAACCCGAGCTAAGGAAAAGAGATACGACCAAAGAACAATTTAAGGCAGAATATAATCAAAAGATTGACTTTTACAAGAACAACAAATTTTCTATCTTTGCAACTGATGCTTCAGGGGGCGAAACAGCCATGGGATGTGGAGTATATAATGTTACACATAATCAAAAATTTTTTTTCAAGATCAACTTTAAAACTTCCTCGGCCTTTGCAGAAGCATGGGCTATTGCCAAGGCAGTGGACATTGCTGTTGAGGACGGGTTGAAGAACATTGCAATTTTCACTGACAGTTTAGTAGCATGCAATTGGATAGAGAAAGAAAAGTCCAATAACTACATAGTAGCCCGCATTCACAAACGCCTTAGTGGGGGGGAATAAACTGTGTCCTAACATGGACTCCGAGCCATGTGGGAATACAAATTAATGAAACTGTGGATGAAATGGCAAAAACAGCCTTAGAAGTTGGCGCTCCTTTAAATGCGAGCCTAACTCCTGAGGAAGCAATCAGAAAAATCAATGAGGAACTAAGGAAAAATTGGAATGATAGGTACCGCCAAACTGCAAAGGAGAAGGGAAAACTGTTTGCTGAATACTTCCCAGAGATTACAAGCGATCCGTGGTATATTAAGTCCAAAATGGAAGCTAGAGACATAAAGACAATAAACAGACTACTCACGGGACACACCTATGACAGAGTATACTTACATAAAATTGGGGCAAGTGAATCTGATCGTTGTCAGAGCTGCCAAGCAACCGACAACTACATCCATGCCATTTTTGAATGTGGGAAACACAACTCCATTAGGGAAAAATATGATATCTTTAACGAATTTGAAAACCTCCATCATATTCTCAAAAAACGCGACACCAGAGCGCTTATAGAGTTATGTAAATTCATCAGGGAAGCTGAAATCAGCATCTAAAAAAAGTGTTAAAAAAAGAAATGATATAAACAATTAAAGTAAAAAAAGAACAACTCACCAAGAAACAACCAACTCAACACGAAGACAGAATAAGTAGTCGAGCACTTTTCAGTGCTAAAAACAGCATTTTTAAATGCTACATAACATTATAATATGATAACTAAACATAAACAATCACTATAACCAAAACAAAAAATAACAAATTTAAACGGCCGTTCAAAACAACGAAAGAACCATATCGTCAAGTTCAAGTTGATCAAAAGCTGTCAACGCTCACACAGCCTTTTCGCTAAAAATCAACTGCCAGAGGAAATCAATCTCATCGCAACAAACAGGTTTTGAGCCAGAAAACTAGCAAGAAACACAGCATCAACTCAACTACCATGCAGATTATCGAAAAATTTTATGAAACCGATCAACCAGCTCGATAAACTCGGCGGATGTGTATATCAATCAATTCAACACAATCCAATATCATAATCAAAACGCCTCAATGAGGCTTTCGTTTAAGCAATAAATATTGCTCTCCAGGTGGCGGCTGGCGCTGAAAAGCACATCAGTTAAAAAATTGCAAATAATACGCAAGAGGCAACACGTAACCAATTAAGAGGAAGAATCTCTCAAATCGTAATCACCCTGGCAGTATGAGTGCATAAACTCAGTCACAAAACCGCAAAGTGCAAAAAAAAAAAAATATTAAATGGTAGCAAAAATTAAATTAATTTGAATGTGTAGCAAAATTGGAAAAGTCGTGAAACAAATGGTGTAATAAGGGTATGAGCAAAAACTTTTCATTAAAGTAAATAGAACTGTTCCGGCTCGCTATCACTATCAGCAGTCAATTCCCTATGGGGACTTGGACATTTATCCTCACCCTCACTATCACTGACACCAACACTTAAGTCTTTTTGGGAACTCGGAAGCATAAGTACGGAGGGACATTCAATTACATTAACATTTGCTACACATTCCATTGCTTGAGTACATTCCAAAAGTTCTCTAAATCTTTTCGCATCAGATTCAAAGATCCTTTTTTCCTTACTCACGCAATTTTGGAAATACCTCTTTTTCATATTATTTAAACAATTGTTTACACCATGCACAATTTAAGATACTTATCTTCTTATTTTCGGCTATATTCCACCTGGGATTTGATTCGAAAAACACAAAACTTTCCGAAATTCTTCTGCGATTTGGTAAAATTTAACATAAATACTTCAAAATGGTGGGCGCGTTGCTTTGCGAAAATTTTAGTGATGAGAAATTTGGCTCTGAAAAGTATTCGGTATGAATGAATTTGGTTTCCAAGTATTATTTTTTTGGTTTTGTTAATTTTTTGTGGGGCTAATTTCTATACTCAAGACAAAAATGCAATTTAATTAGTTTTTTATTTCAATTTTCGATACAAAACAAAATTATTTCCAAGGTAAAATACCAAAATAAATATCTTAAATGGTTCACTTTACATAGTACTCGGATATATTTGGTATTTTGAAGGTAGCAACTACTTTCAATCAGCATGAAATGCAACTCTGTTAAATTAGCTGAAAACAGTCGTAGCATGAACCAACGACTACAGATCACCTAATCAGCCATCGTTGTATTTGTAATCGATTTTCAGAAAAAAGTTTTCGTAGCGTTTTTGACGTTTTTCGGGTTTGTTTACATCGTCTTCTACCTCTTCGTAGTGATTTTTTAGCGATTGAATGTGTTTTCTGCAGCGATTTTAATTATAAATTTTGGTTTATTACATATTTATGATATAAAATAAAGTGCTGTGTGGTCGGAACAAGTTTGTGCGTATGTTTGGTTTGCCAAAAGGCGTAAATTTGCGTGAAAAGTGGGTGCACGTTTGTGGCCAGAACGGTGGCATTGAAAAATCGACCCGTGGTAATGATATGCGATTGTAAAACACTTTCAATCATGAAAACCATATTTTATGAACTTTTTTTGCTAATTGTCATCAAGTTTCACTTTGTATATTTTATAATAAATACCGATTTAATCGCACTCAATCACCGCGCCTTTTTCGTTTTCTTTGTTTGTTTTCATTCTTAGGCAGATGTCAAAAACACTCAGAAATATACTTTTTTCTTGCTTCTTTGATTAGGTGATCTTGTATTTTTGGTTCATGCAGTCGTAGTACATTGTTGCTATCTCTTTCTTTCAAATTTTGAGGGGTTTCATTCTCGCTAGTACACAGGATTGAACTAATACCCTGCTAGCATTTATTATCGCGGAAGTGGCGAAAAAATAACTTCAAGAAGTTAGATTTCATCGCGGAAGTTATCGCTTTCTCATCTTTTTACTATCCTCCTTCGGGAAAAACTGTTCCCCGTAAAGGCCGGTCCACATAGAACTTTCGTGTTAGTTTTGGCGTTGGCGTTGGTTTGACAGAACGCACGTTAAAAGTATGCTTGCTACAATGAGCGCTTGGCAGCGAATGCTTGGGCCACTACATTAATATACTAACGACAGATAAATTAATATTTCATATCAATAATTGCATTAAAAACGATATTTCTTGCCCGCACTTGATTAAAAAGGAAAATATTTCACATAATTTTATTTATTTGCAACAGCTGACGAGCGACGCACGCGAAAAGATGAGAGTTGGCCATCTTTTTGCTTTGTGTTGGCGTGAGCGTTGTCGAATTTTGGCTATGTGGACGGCTGCATTTGAATTCATGTATTCATAGTCAGCTGTTGAAGCGACGCCAACGCCAACGCAACGCCAAAGTTCTATGTGGACGGGCCTTAAGCGTTACGTCCACACTGACACGCATGCGACACTACAGGAAGTGACTTCTTAGTGTCGTCTGGAAGAGACAAAGGCGGTTCACCCAAACATACTCGCATACGATGCTTCCGAAAGTAACTTCTTAGTGCCGCGTGGGAGACACAGAAACGTGACGTAAAAACTACCCCCTTTTGATTTCTAGCTTAATGTAAAAAACTGCAAATATATTTGTTTAATTTTTTTCTAACTTTTATTAACATTAAAAACAAAAAAAAAAGTTTGTTTAAATTATTCAGTTAAGTATAATTTGTTAACATTATTTCGTTAAGTATAGGGTTAAGTAACTAATTAGAGAGGCGTAAATTGCCGCGTGTATTTTCATTTGAATGTTTCCATTTGAGCACTCTATCCCTGGCGTGTAAGAAATGTTGTTGCACAATTTTATTTATTTGAAATCTGTCGAATTTTGGAACTTGGAGTGACAAACATCTGAGAAAAATAATCTTAGTTAAATATAAGCATTGCTAATTACATACATATATTATTTATTTTTGTGTGCTTGGCTTCTCCCAGTCCCACGGCAAGTTAAATTCATCGCCAACTCATCAGACACAATTTGCCTTAACGCTAAATGGACGAATACAGGAACTTCTTCTCCTACAATATGTATGTAACTATTTATTTATTATTTATTTATTTATATAACATCAAATTTATGAGTTGACGAATTTAAGAGCATCGGCTGCTAAATGTATGTAACTATTGTAATATTATATTAAAAAAATGTATTTTTTGCCGAATTTTTATTTTATTTTTATTTTTATTTCGTCGTTAACTAGACACACCAGAAATTGTCTTCTTTTTGCACGATAAGAAGTTAAAAACTCGATAGTAGTGTATTTTGTTTTTGTAAAATCAGGACCATTTTGCAACTAACGCTTAGAAGTGCCTCAGACGTTACTTCTTTGGGATAGACGAGAAAACGATCTTCTAAATGCTGGCAGGGGTTTCGGCTCGCAAAGATTGTCAACTTCTCTTTAATAACAAAATAATCTATCTTAGGTTGATAAAACTATGTGTTTCTTTAATAAATAAGTTAAATTATATATTTTAATAGTGTTTAAAAAGTGTGAACAGGTGGTTTAGTGAATCTTTGTCGGTGTAATTGCCCATCGAAAACAACGAAATTTAACAAAAGTTTTTTGTACATAACTTTTAAATGGTTAATAATATTATCTCCTCCCCTCCGGATTGTTAATAGGGGGGCCGAAACGCGTCGTTTGATACCCCTCCCGACTTTTCCGCACCTTTTTTAGGGGTTGTTACCGCACCCTAGAGAATTACCAAATGCTCTTCTCAGGAGTTGGCTTAAGCCGCGAGGAACGGAGTTTGATTGTCATTGGTGAAATTATACAGGATCTTCTGAAAGCACATGAGGACAAGAAAGATGTAAATCTAAATCGTCTTAAAGCACGCATATCATCGAAGTATGGATTGGAGAGTTCACCACGTTTGGTAGACATCATTGCGGCTGTTCCCCAAGATGCTAAAAAGATATTGCTGCCTAAACTGCGTGCTAAGCCCATACGCACTGCTAGTGGCGTGAGTGCAAGAGTGCAATTTAAAATTAAATTTTTAAATCAATACATTTTTTTTTTACTTAGATCGCCGTAGTCGCAGTCATGTGCAAGCCCCATCGTTGTCCACACATCAACATGACCGGAAAAATATGCGTGTACTGTGCTGGTGGGCCGGACAGTGATTTCGAGTACTCAACCCAATCATATACAGGTTATGAACCGACATCTATGCGCGCTATACGTGCGCGTTACAATCCCTATCTGCAAACCCGACACCGCGTTGAACAGCTCAAACAATTGGGACATTCTACGCTGGTATGAAAGATTGGGGTACGGATTGTCGTGATGTGCGTACACGAGAAGTTGGCATTCAAGAAATACACAATAAAGTGCGCTCATACGACGCGACTACTTTGCCAACGGTGGTTGGGAGACGTTCCTCTCCTACCAAGATCCAGAGCAGGATATACTGGTGGGACTGTTGCGTTTGCGTAAATGCTCGCCAGATACGTTCCAAAGCGAGCTAACTAAGGTTGGACAATGTTCGATTGTACGCGAATTGCATGTTTATGGATCGGTAGTGCCGGTCAATGCAAGAGATCCAACCAAGTTTCAGCATCAGGTTTGTGAAATAAAAAATTTAGAATTAGAATCGATTTACATATACTGCTTTCGCCGCATTTTCTAGGGTTTCGGAATGTTGCTAATGGAAGAGGCAGCTCGTATTGCACGCGAGGAGCATGGCAGCGTAAAATTGGCAGTTATTTCTGGCGTGGGCACACGTGCCTACTACCGTAAACTAGGCTACGAATTAGATGGCCCATACATGTCTAAAATGCTTATAGACGTTAAATAAATCCAAACAGGTTTTTAAAAAGAAATTAGTTGCGCCGAGAAAAGCTCCATATGTTGCAATTCATAAAAAAATAACACAACTTGTAATAAAGTGTACGCAAGTAACCAATTTACGTTTGGTTTTACTATTCTTATTGTAATTAGATCTGCTTAATATTGCATATCACGCATATATAATTTACAATACTATCGAACATTTAAATATTATACAAGAAATAACATACATAATTATAGCCTTCTATCCAGTCAAAAGAAATATGTACCAGACCTATATTTGGAAAAACATAAAACAGTCAGTGCGTCAAAAAATGTATAATATGCTTTTGGAGTATGAAGAAATCTGATGTTCAGAAATCATACAATCGCCTCGGCTGAGCCGAATATAAGAAAAACAGTGCAACCAACTAAATTTATAACTGCAGCAGTGCTAAACACAATCGGCCAGCTTTGCGTTATCTCCAGTATATGTCCAGCGAGATAAACACCCAAAAACCCAGGAACTGCGCCAACAGTATTCATCAAACCGAAAACACTACCCGAATGTGATGGCGCCAAATCTTGTGGATTCACAGTCACGGCATTGTTGTGGAAGCCAGTACCACCTATAAGAAATATGTATGTAATTTTAAATTTTCCCAGTTTCTGTAAAACATAAATTCCTACCAATTATAACAGTCATGCATATCAGTGCTGTATGAAAATCATTTGTGCGCGCCATTATGAATAACGCCAGATTTTGGGACGCAAAACAGCAGCTTTGTATGATCTTCCTCACAGCCGAGGTAGACCAATCGCGGGCCAGTAAACGTCCTGTTAGGTAACGCGCAAAAAGCGTACATGGCGGCAATGCAAGCCAAGGAATCATATTGACTACCCACACTTTGGCATGCGGAAATCCACCATGGAAATATGTTGGCAGCCAAGAAAGCAACACAAAGAAGCAATTCATTTCGCAGGCATGTGTGAGCACGTACGCCCAAAATGATAGCTTCCTAAAGTAGCGCAACCACGGTACATTCTCCAGAATTTGTTTGTTGGCACAGAGTCGTGATGGGGCAGATACATTGATGATGCGTCCACGCTCACCAGCCATGGTATAGTAGCGCAACATTAACGCCCAAGCTATGCCCAAAAAGCCAATAACACGAAACACATAGGGCCAACCAAAATAATCTAATACAAATGAACCAAGACTGCCTGTAAGCAGTGTGCCCAGAGCGGAGCCGGCAGTGAGTAGACCAAAGAAACTTGTGCGTTCATTTGAGCTAAGATTCTGTTGGAAGAGGACAAAATAATAATGAAAATCAATATATTTGTCACCAACACACACTCACCTGACTAGTGAGGCTAATCATGCTTGGGAAGTGCACACCCTGGAATGCGCCATTTATAATACGTATCGTTACAATAAAAGGAATGGAATATGCTTTAATCGCCGTTGAACTCCATATGATATTTGGCATGAAGAATGTAATCAAAGACCAGCCAATCGCAGCAAAGAGTACAACACGTTGACCACCAAAACGATCACTGAAGTAGCCGCCTACTACCTGAAAAGAAACGAAAAATTGGTAAGTTGTGTTAAAGAAAAGTAGCCAAATCTTTTGTGTACAAACAAAAAAACACCTGAGTCAACGTATAACCCCAAAAGAAAGAGCTGAGTACAGTGCCCGAATCAGTTTTACTCCACTTCTGCTCGGCTGCAACGGCGGATATGAGTAGTGGCATAGATGTGCGTGTCGAATAGAGCATGCATGTGCCTGTGATGAGTGTGAGGAACCAAGCGCGTTTTTCATGCCTACATATGTAAAAGAAAAATAATAGTATGGTGTATAGTAGATTTGCATCAAATACTCCATCTACCTTGTCCAAACGCTTTGATTATCCACCAGTTCGCCGCGCAAAAGCGAATATTTCAGTTTTTCATCCATGCTCATTTTGACTGTTTTTATTCTAGTTTTGTGCTACTGTTTAGCAGTTTTTTTTTTTGTATTTTTTTTATAGTGATGTATTTAAAATTCCACGTAGCAATTCTTAACTACCCCACACTGCATCCATAATCTTCTGCGTGGCTATGTCATTTTATAAATCTTAATATTTTTAAATTACGTATATTTATCATTTCCTGTGCATTTTCATACGGACAAAATTGCAATTTTTTGTTTAATCTCTTTAAAAATGCCACGAAAAACTCAAGTATTTTATACTGCCCAGCCTGCGGAAGAAATACAATAAACAGCTGATTGCCAGAAGCAAATCATTCACAATGGTTAACAAATTAAACCCGGTGCTTCAAAGACACTAGGGCATGCAAGGCTATTGCATCAATTCATCGCAGGTTCAATTTTCGTGAAGTCTCCGAAAGTAATATCGATCTTTTTAGCTAAAATTATGCGAGAAAAATAATCACAAAAAGCATTGGAACATGCAATGTGCATCATATGTACATCGAAGCCAAGAAAGGACTTAGCCTTGAATGGGGTCGCGATCAACATCGTCTTTGAAGTGAAGCATCTGGGTCTTATCTCGCACATCTACGACGGCAGCGCTGGAGGCAATTCTTGAACTGGAGAGCCTGCATCTGACAGTAGAACAGGCTGCAAACTCTTCCAAATTTCGCTACAGAGGCCATTGGCTTAAGTAAAGTCTTACCCTCTAGGAACATTTACAAGCTAGGCTCCCAGATCCCACTCTGTTCCCCAGAGACTATATGCATAGACCCCCGAGGATATTGAGCAGGCATATGTGGCTCTAGACTGCAGCTTTCAGTATCCCTGAGAACCTTCCCGTGCGTCTTCTAAGCGGAAGTCTATGCCATTAGTCTTTGTGCAGAGATTAACCTTCGTAGGAATTATCGAAGTGAGAGGATCCTTATATCAAGTGATAGTCAAATCCTCATTGGTCTTCGAGTACATAGAGAGGCTTAATGCCCTGGCTGACCCTGGCTCAATTACGGTCTGGATACTGTAGCCGCCTTAACAGCTACCTGTCCAGACTCGACTCCAATATCCCCAATGAGTGCCCGGCATGTGGAGAGTGCCCCCACGACACCAACCACCTCTTTACATGCCAGCTCAATCCGACTCAACTAACACCCCTCTCCCTCTGGTCAGAACCCATCGAAACAGCTCGTTTCCTGGGCCTCCCGTTAGTTGAGCTTGACGAAAATGATTGAACGTAGACCCGAAAAAGGCGGGGCTTAGTAGTGCCGCTACAACAACAACAACAAGATGCCCTGGCTGAGAACAATACTATCCAGTGGATATGGGTGACAGGGCACATGGAAGTCGAAGGAAATGTGGATGCTGCTCAGTTAACCAGAATGGCTGAAAACACCATGGGTCTCCGTTAAGCTAAGAGCTTTCTAGAAGGGTGAAAGCTAATGAGCTAGGTATACTTATAGATCTCCTCAAAAAAGAGCCATAGAATTACTACAGGTATTTTGACGGATTATTGTAGGCTAAGAGGCCACTTACACAAGCTAGGGATCTAGTCAAGCTATCTATGTCACTAAATAGGACATTTATGGCTAAGAGAAGATCACATACACTACTAACCCCCACCAATTATTCAGAAATTTATATCTATCGGATGTATGTCTCCTAAAAATTTTGGTATTAAAGAGAGATGACCGCATTTTGGGAGTAAACTCGCGGTTATGCGCGCCCTACTTTAGCTTGCAATATAATGTGTTTCCAGAGAGGGACGGAATGCGTGGCAGCATGCTACGTCAACTACGCTCCTGAGACATCAACTACGTTCCTGAGACAAATCATATGCACACTGTGTGAGCTGTGTGAGCTATGGCGGCAGGTCCAAATATTTACAGCCTTTCCTGTAAAATATGCATCTAATTATCTCTCCAATATTTCCAATTTCTTCATTGCCAGAAAACTCAATACGTCTACCGCGAAATCCACCGACACCCTTTTCACCACGTTGGCGTAAAAATACCAATTGATCTTGGAAGTCACGTCCAATTTAATTTCCTCCTTCTCAGCTCCGTTCCGCCACCTAAAACGAACTATAATCCAAGTCGCTAGCCAGCAGCGTCTGCGGGAGCTGACAAAGAGACCCTGCAATCCTGTCAAGACGAGTCTTAGCACTCTAAACGACAACATTATGCTAGGTGGTCGACCACCCTCCATACGGAAAGCAAAACTGCCACGGTGGACACGGTGCAGCCTACCACATATCCGTTCTATGTGGTGTCAGACACTTAATACCTCCACCATCGACTGGACACGGAAGTATGGAACACCTGGCCACGGTCCTTATAACAGTCAACACATCTATGCATGCACCTCCAACCCGACTAATCTGACACCGGAAGCACTAAGGGCTGCGAACGTAAACCTCACATGCTCTCTCTAGGTCACAGTCTCGTCGTGCCAGAAGTTACAGAGGACGCCACTTGGCGAGGCATACAACAACTGATACTGCAACAACAATAGAATCTTAATACCATAAGGAGTCGGGCTTCTATGGATATTTTCACGGATAGGGCAAAATTGGATGCCAATGGCATCTCTATCAAACAAAAATTTTGATTTTCACAGGCACTGATTTACTGCTTCATTCATTCATTGATGATTCACAACGGGTCGGACATTGTCTGACATCCCTTTCAATCGGATCTTGATACTCCGATTGAATATTATTTGTGTAAATGCCAGAATATAGTGTTTTTGCAAGAAACTTTATAGCTGACGATTTTGTCAGGCTACCTTAAGCGGATGTTCCCAAGCAGGGAGGGTGTGAAGACCACATTGAATACTAAAGTCATCGACAGTTGCGATTGATATTTTTACAGGCCATTTTCTGATAGAAATTCATGAGCTGGGGATCTAGACAACTTCAAACACCCTGCGAGGACAATTGTCCAGTCAGCTTCTAATCCATAGCCGCTATGCCTTCGCAAAGTTAGAATTTAAGCATCTGGGATGCAGTGTGCTACTTACTATATATCACAAAGGACGCTGGATAGTATCCCTTTAAGTGTGGCCCCTTGTATGAAGTTGGCATTGAAAAGCCTCTCGGATGGCGGAGTTCGCCATATCATCACTCCAGAGGTGTCTAAAGTCATTCCAATTAAATAAGGAAGCCCAAAAAATTACCTTTGTTATCAGGACTAATAACCTCAAATGTAGAGATAGAAATCTGGTAACTGACATTCTCAGCTCTTTTAAGTGCCAAAAATAGTAGGGCTTTTCAAAAGGAGCAACTCTTAGGGCGAGTTTTTCAGTACACTGCCGTGGTTTAAACTCAGTTTAAACGGCCGATCAGGCTGGTTTAAATCAGATTTCGGCCAGCTGTTCAATTTAAACTAAGTTTACTTAATCTAAGTTTAAACTATCACCGAAAAACTGGCCCTTAAACTCTCGCCTACTATAAGCCAAAATTAAAAATGTCCTCGATTTGGCACTTAAATATAAATAGGCATAACAATCTAGTGAATATTTTGGTTTGCGCCCGAACAGAAAAAATGATAAGGATAGAGCGTTTTAAATTCCGAAAGTTACTTATTCCAAAGTAATGAGTAATTACAAAAAAAAAACAGAAAAAATAACTCAGTACGAGGTACTTTTCAACAGCCTGAGGAAACATGCATTTCCGTTCAATAACTTAACGCCACTTCTTTGAATGCATTTTAACATTGAAATTAAACAAAATTTAATTACCAAAACACGATCAATAAAGGAGATGCGAACATCACAATTTTTATTACAATTGATGATTATTTTATGAGTGGATGAGAGTAATTAAAAACAAAATGAATTAAAAAGAGCAGATTATTTCTCAATAAAATCAACATACCGACCACATTGCATGGATGCATGAATGAAAATGCTGTGAAAAGTGCTATGGATCAGCTGCAATGAGTGTGCCGATACATATGTATGTATGTATGTTTGTACATATGCAATCACTTAGCACAAGATGCTCATATGCACCCTGTAGGAAATGCTACAAGTACTAGGGAATTATGACGAGAAAACCTGCATACCGAATCACTCGAACAAAATTTATGTCAATCGCAGCTGACTTCGTCTTTATAGGAATTTGCAATGAAAAAAGAGGATAAATTCAGTTAAAGGGATACATCTTTGATCGCTTTGACATTTTCTCAAGTTCCGCTGAAACATTAAGTACTTACTACCGTTATCGCCGGTGCGGTAAGATTTGTATATGAAGTTGTTGCCCTTTAGCGATATGCTTCAAAATTCAGTGGCGATACACTCAAAGAGAATATATATATGATGGTGTCTCTCTGGTCAAGTCGCAAAGCTGGCACTCGAACAAATCTACAGCTTATTCAGATGCCCTCTTAGTCTACAGTCTACGGTATACTGTACGGATATCTGTTAGTGTTTTAAGTTTCTCCTTTGGAAGGCTCATTCAAATATTGGAATCTCTGCATGTTATACCCACCCATGAACCTTTTGTCTGGTCAACCCTACTGAGCTTTGCCAATTAAGTCCTCTCCATGTGTTCTCTTCTAAGCTCTTAGTGGTATAGGACCTTACGCCGAGGTAGGTCTTCGGCATCTCATCTTCCTGTGTTCCTTTGTGGTCTGGTACCCATGCTAGATGGAGTTAGATGATGAGAGAGCAATGAGCGCTGTTTGACTATCACTTAGAATGAGAACCCACTCATTTCCGCAAGTCCTACGTAATTCTACACAGCTTGAACAGCGTAAACTTCTGCCTGAAACAGGCTCGAATCTTTTCCCATATGAATAAGACAAGGCATCTTTGTGGTGGTACCGTAGATTTCTTTCACAATTAAGTATTCGAGCCGTCTGAGTACCAATGCAGGGTGCCAACCTTGAATTCGAGATGTTGTTGTCATCTGGACAAATTCCTCTCTAACGAAGCTTTGTAGGGTTCGCTTGGCAGCCTGCTCGATATTTATTTAGACAGTTTATGTTTTCCTACTGGGTATGCCTGCCTATGCTTAAGCTGAAATTAGTCCAGAACGTAAACGCAGCGGTACGTAACCCGTGTCAGCTGACACGATCTATCTTACCAGAACGCCATGTAAATGAAAACTCAACAACGCAGAATTTTTCTGTAGTTGTAGCCCGTAGCGCAGAAATCTGCGGAATTTAGATTTTTCCGTATCAGCTGATTTCTTCCTGGTTGCCACTTCGTCAGTTTTGCAGATGGTAAAAAAGTTATAAGTTCCTATTCAAAATACGTTTAAAATATTTCAAATTTACTATTGAATAAGGTTTTTTGTTAAAAACTAAGTAGTTTATATTAAGCTACTATCTATTATAGCACCAAAAATTGTAGTTGA